GTACAATTGTAAATAGTACTTACTAAAAAGTTATTGCTCTGACAGATGGCTTTATAGAGTTTTCTGATTTTATAACACCCTTAAAAAATAAAAATGTGATTAAAAATAAGCATTTAAATTAATCTCAAACCGCTATTTATGACAATCAAATAAACAAAAGTCAAACCTGAACTCCACTAATAGGTGTGAATCATTTTTCAGACCAATGGTTCATCTAATTATAAGAACATAAGATAATATTTACAATTTTGTGTTATTTACAAAAGAAGGTAATAAAAATATATACAAAACTTCATGTCAGAATTCAACGTTATTTCTATGCAAAAACGTTTCGACAATTTCTTAAGATATTTCGCAGGAATTTTTTTAAAAAATGGAATTAGATTATATATAAATATGCTTGCCAGATCATATTTTATTCTAAATGAATTTATGAATATTTTAATTAATTTATTAAACTAATTGTTTTGCAATGTTGCGAAAAAAATAGAAGAAATTTTTTTAAAAATATTCATAAATAAAAGATGTAGATGAATAACATAACACATTTTATACATTATTCTAATTTAAAGTATCTGTAATTGCTTCTACCACAAGACACCGGTTTATTATGTACAAGATTTAAGTAGAATTAATCGCAGTATTCTACATATATGTCTATCGTCTATTTATTCATGTCAACTATATACAGTGAAAAAGATTCAGTTCCTCCGAGATGCGGTTAAATCTAAATACACGAAATTTCACTTTTACATTTGAGAAGTGCTGTGATATACAAAAGTATAAAATAACTTATATTCTATGATGGCACACACAAACCAAAAACTGAAGAATATATAACTGTTAATACACAATTAAAGAATGGAGAATAAAATTAACAAAAATAACTCATTTGAAAATTTTTTTGAGAATGAATAATTAATGGCATCGTAGTTTTTTGCTTAATACATGTATAATAAACAATTTCTTCGAAATATTTGTCTTTCAAAATCACTCTTCAATGAAATGCTGTAGGGACAGAGGAATTCACCTAAGTGACCAATAAGCAAGAAGCATAGATGAATGTCACACGTAAAGCTGCTTCAGTTTCCCGAAAAAGGAAAAAAAAATTCTTTGATATTTATCATAAAATATTTGTTTTAGCTGTAGAATTGGTCATAATCAATTGTAAAATTTCCGGAAAACGTAACTTTTTCTTTCAATTAAAAATCAGCCTTCTTTACGATCAATTGTCAGAAATCTAAATCCCAAAAATCATAAATTGTCCCACCAGAAACAAGTATAATTTTCGTAAATTTTCAAGACTTAAACGAATTAAAAAATATCATTTCATTATTAATTAAATAATTAATTTTACTTTTATCAATTAATATTGTTTTTATTTATTAATTAGTATTATTTGTATTAGTTATTTATCATTTAATTTTTGAGATTTTATTATTATTTAGTAGAGGAAGTGGAACAACAATATTATTACTTTTCTGTACATCAAATTTACATTTAAAAAATCAGTATTTTATTTAAAATGGCTTTTAATTTGAAAACTGTCTTAATTAATTTGATTTAACAACTAATATACTTTTAAAGGAATGTGAAAAATATTATTTAGCTTACTTTAGACTTATCATCAATATCACATAGATGAACTTATTTATTTACATATAAATATAATCATGACATAATTATCAACTGATGACATTTAAGCCCTTTCACAAAATTTTAGACCGTTAATTTTAAGCATAAAAAATTGCAGACAAACAATTATTATACAATTCAGAAATACAGCTTTACACACACTTATATAAAACAATTAATATTAGTAACATTAACACAATTAGTGTTTTATTACAAGTTAATAAAATACTTAAAAAGCAAATATTGATTCATTTCGGGAAACAAAAGCAATAAAACACTATATTTCACGCACTCTAATAGTTAAATCACAGTCTTTAGAGAGACAGACTATATACATCACAAAGACGCTCACATGCATTGAACAAGGAGAACAAAGAAGTCTGGAAAATTTGAACAACATCTTGTCGTTGTTGGGTTTTATCAGTTCAATCGTTAGTTTATTGCGAAAAATACTTTTATCAATTATTTTAATCAAATTCTACAAAATTTCATTGTCATATAAGATATTATTAAATGACCATTTAAAAAAAGTTGCGAATAGCTTTATCCTGGTAATCATTTAGTTAGTATGGAAAAATTGAGATTCTATAGGATTACTGGTCAGGAATATGACTATGAAAAGTGTCTAAAACGGGTTTTCTATTTTTAAATTTAAGTATTTTAAAAGAAATATATGGGAATTGATAGCTTGTTTAAGAAGGAAAAAAACTCAAAATTACTTTTAAGGCGTTTTTAAGTGAAGCTTAAGCTAATTGTTTTGTTTAAGGTATCTGAGCATGCAAGGTAAAACGTTGTTAAAATATTCTAATACTTAAGAAATATTATTGCTTTTAGAAAAAAGGCAGTTTCGTTGTGGAATCACAAGTTTTTCTACTGTGCTATGTCGAAAATATTAAGGCAAAGTTCTAAGGTAAAATTTCAGAAGTTATACTTTTTTTTAAAACTTTTTTAATCCGTTTATCTATTATTAACAAATATTTACACTTTTTTAATTATTATTTTAGATATACATTTATCACCTTTATCTGCACATTTATTAGAACTTATATTAATCGATCTGATGTTTTATTACACAGAGAAAAGTCTAAGAGATTTCACTTATTAAGATATTAGTAAATTAACATTTAACATTAAGCGTAGAAAAACATACATGGAGACATCATGGTAAACAAGAGGTAAAGGTCAAGCATGCATTTCGGGTACATCCATAACGTGATTGGTGAGTTTTATTGTGATAGTACATTCGCGAGATAGGGTAGCGCCGGACCACATGCACTTTTTTTTAATCATTTTATTTCATTACGATGACGCAGTTTCAATGTTGTCCAAAAAACATCTTGCTCATGCTACAGAAGCAACAGTAGGTTTATTCTAAAGTACAAACAAGGGATTTACAGAAAGGGCAGTGCGTTTTCTGGCGAGATCCACACAAAGGCAGAAAATCACTGCCATGAACTTAAGAAACTGAAATTTGAAAAAACTAAATGTTTGTTTTTATTTTGTATTCATTAATTTTGCGTTTTTAAGTAACATTATTTTTCTTAAAGAAAGTATAATCGAGTCAATAGTAATGCACTTTTATGGATCGGTTAATATAATTTATCGTTGAATAGTGGAAAATTATTGAAATTCATTTTTGAACGATTGAACTGAATATTGAAAATTTCAATTGATGTTTAAAAATGCAATAATAATATTTTGTCAATTGCATTTTTTAAATTTTTTTTACTTAATGCATTTTTCCAGATCTTTTCTGATTCTATTTATAATATGATGAGAATGTGTGAGGATTGGTTACGGTTATAGCTGAGATGACTTAACGTTACACATTTTTGTTCTAAATATCACTTAATGTTTGACTTTTTTAAAAATGGCAAATTTTATAATTCAGGAAAAATCCTTGCGTAATTTGCATGTAAATTTTGTTTTTTTCAGAATCTCAATCCTTACCAAATTAAGGTGGGAGAAGAGTTCGATTTCATCCAGGCCTCCTACGGAAGAGTATGCAGCTACGGAAAGGAGGACAGTAGTCTCAACTTTGTGGGCCGCACAATAGTTCCTTATGTGTCTCGACTACTAAAGTTATCCTCCAATATCAATAAATTAGGTAACCGCAATTTTTTTTCATTCAATCGTATTACACTTTACATGATTACATTTAATTTAATGTAAACTTAAATATTTATATCATCATTTAAGTGAAACTGCACACCACTTACAAATTGCTGGGTATAGATTAAGCCACCTCAACCATATTATTATGAGATGAGGAAAGAAAAATGGTGATTCTATAAAGGACACCACAAAGCAGAGTTAAGTTTAAATAGATAATAAAGGTGAACACTAGAGGAAAGGTAATCGTTTCGATGTGTATGAACCTTTTATTTATTTAAGCGAAGAACCACTCATGACTCTTGCTTAAAATTTTGTTTGTATATTATAGTTCTCTGTATCCACTTCGTAAAGCTCTACTTTGCTTTATACTCTTTCAGCCTTCTGATTCTTCACTTTACTAAACAGAAAGAGATGGGCGCATGAAATAAATTTTAGCAGAAATGTGCAGGGAGTGTGCAAAGGAAGTTTTTACTAAGGAAGACGTTTAACTGGTAGAGCTTAAGCTTATATCTCAACTCATGATTGTAAAATTAAATCAATGTGAGTTTAGGTCAAGATGAAGGTCAGAAAGAATGGTTCACGTATTTTCGATTTTGTTTTCTGAAGAAAGGAGATTAAAAACAAAATATATGATGAATTCCGTAGCATATAAATAATGTTTTCGTTTGCCTTGTGAAATAAAAAGAAATGGAACATCTTTGTATGAAAAAAAAGTCACCGCTCTTGAATTTTAAACTATATTTTTGTACAAAAATAAACTTCTAAATACGAAATAATATTAAAAAAAAAATGTAAGTTAGGAGTATTAAGTAAAATAAATTAACTCATAGATAGAAAAATAAGAATAGTGTAAAAATATATCAAAGTAATGACATAAAAGATACAAAGGTAAAAACAATGTAAAAATCAAAATGCAAATGTAAAAAGTTTAAAATTAAAAGAAAGAAATAAAACTGATATAAAAATGAAAAAATTATCTAAAAACAACACTTAAGTAAAATGTTGTTTAAAAAAAGAGTAAAAAGGAAACTAACATAGCGTAGATTATAATTAAACAATATTTATGTATAAATACTTGGCTCTATCAATTAAAAGTCTATACCAATCTATGAGGTCTTTTATAAGCGAATAATTTTAAGGATTTGTAAAAGGTAAGCGTTAAAGAAAGGAGGTCTAATTCTTGAAACAATGGCTAAAAAGGGATCAATGGCAGCAGCAAGCATTCAACGATATCTTTTTTCCAGTTCCAGCAATCCTTTGCAAGGAGCCTGATTAAGAAAAGGTACGGAGTTGGCGCACAGGAATTTAAAACGTATTCTCTAAATCTATGTGAACGTTTTTGAATAATATGAGAACTCTACAATCATTGTATATACAGCTAAAAGGGATAAGCAGGTGGGAATACACACAAGGTTAGGATTTGATTCTTTTACGTCTATGCTACGATCAAACACGTTTTCACGTTTAGAAGCCTCTTAAGTAGTTGCAAATCAATGATATTTACGGTTTTTGAAGATTGTTGATTAATCTCTTATATTTTTTAATTATTTCCTAAGAAATGATAATCTTTTATCAGATGAATATTTTTAAAAATTGATGGCACGTTTTGTTTTTTTAAAATTCCATCACATGTCACATTGAGCTTTTCTACAAATTCACGTATTAAAGAAACGTGTTTTATAAGTATTTATCATTAATCGAACGTGATAATATTTAGAATTCAGTGATTTGCAACTTGATCATAGTGTCTACAGTCTTAGTAGCTCATCTTCTCTTCTCTTTATACTTTTGAAGACAATATATTCAGAAGAATTCTGGTGGCTATATTTTTACTTTAAAACAAAGCTTTAAATGTTGTATTATATTTAAATAAACACAAATTCAACCCAAATAAAGTTTGACGGTATATTTGCCAGACGTTTTATCCTCAGATAATGAATGAGTTGTTAAATATGTCATAAGATTTTTAAATTATTGCTTAATACATTTCATGGCAATAAGACTAAATTAAACTATGTTTGTAAAATATGTCTACATAGGTTATTCAGGATATCAGAGCGAATAATTACCATTTACTTTAATAACTTTTAGATAGAAAATGTAATATTTTCCGACTGTAATAATATAAGAATAAACAAAGTTTAAAATAACTACGTTATACTTATGTATAGTGAAACATCACAGTGTTCCTGGAAATTAAATATTTTAGTTACAGGAATAATAGTTGAAAACGACACTCACATATTGTAATCTAACTTTCTGACTGTTAAACAAATATTCAAAACCATTTCACCACAGTGCTAAGGAATGGGATACGTCTTTTACTGTTAAGTACACAATTCACATAAAAACAATTGCTATAATATATTGTTTAGTTCTACAACTTAATGACAAGAACACTAATATTCGTTGTTTTCTTAGAGGCTTTTAATCCACCTTGACTTCTCTACTGCTACACTTCATGAAGCTATAATTTCATGAAATGGTGAAGCGCCTCAATCTGATAAACGTTCAGTTAATGAAGCAAAAATTCCCCACTTCTCTGTCTGCATATCCGAAAATCATAGTGAAGATATCAAATTACAAAATATCACAACTGTAGTTGACTAATGTAAAGTTACTTCTATTAAATAGCACTAATTATAACAAAGTAAGTACTTCTCTTCATGTCATAGCTACCTTCTCGTGTAGGTATTAGCTTTTGTGATCTTAAGAAAATAATGTGTTCTATTAATGTACTATTCGTGAAAATAATTTATGCAAAAATAGAAACATCACGAAAAATTAATTCACAAATGAATCGAAATCATGCGTAAAACATATGCGCTTTCATTGGTCAAAATATAAAACTTTTTACAGCTTCACCTCAGTACTTTTTCAAATAATATTTTTAGATTCCAGCTGGAATTTATGATCATTGGTTTATTTTAAAAATGAGTATTTTTATCACTGGATGGGTCACTTTCTTTCAGGTATCACTTTCTTTCAGGTCAGACTTATCACCAACAGACGGCATTTGCATTACATTTCAGTGCTAGATATTACATTGATAACTTCTTCTAAATTAAAAACATTCATTTTTAAAATTATTTCTTTGATGTATTTGTTTTTACACCTTACAGACCGTGCGCAATTGTTAGAGAAGTTTTAATTTCATTGCTTTTTAGAAGATAAAAAATCAACAATTAGAATTTCAACTAAAGTATTAAATAAACCTTAAAAACATTTTATGTACTATTTATGATAAAAAGACACCAGCCGTCGATTCTTAACTAGATTAAACATATGAAAGTTTGAAATTTCAAATTTTTATAGCAACATTTTTCAAATACTACTACTTTAACTTTACAATAAGAAAGCACCATACTTCGAAGGACGCATTAAAGATTTTAGATCTGTAAAACTACACAATTATTCAGTCAATTTGACTTTACAAAAATTTTTCAAAATTCAAAACAAGCATGTCATAAAACATAGTTTAAAAAAACATCATTTTTCCATTGTAAACATTACAGGCAATGCCTCAGTCAAATTTCAAAACAAAGTTCCAATATATGCTCTTTAGCATACTTTAGATTCAAAACCATATATGCTTCATCAGTTTTCTTAAAATCTCGTTTCCCAGAATTCATTTTGATTATTCTTTATACGCAAGTAGGCTAGCTTATCAACAATTTAATACACGTAATGCCTCGTTTTCTAATCCATGGATTTGTTAAGGATATGACACTTGATTTTCGGAGCTACAGTGAATTGAATGTCTTGGCCGGACGTAGAGCTCTAACTACTCCTTCTTTGGCTTTGACAGGAGCTCTCATCATAGGTGGTTAAACAAGCGGTGTATCTCCAAATAGTTCAGGATATAATAGGATAGTTTATAAACGGTAAGGGATTATTTAATATCCGAACTGAAACTAATTATTCAGATTAACAAAAAAAATTAAATATCTCCTGCATATAAAATTTGATACTAAAAGAAAAATTACCGTGAAATATAGTAATGCAGCAGAACTGCATTGAGTTAGAATTAAAATTTCTCAGAGTAAAATAAGTTTAGCCTATTTTTTTAATAAATGATATTATGAATATTTTCCTATTGAAAATGCAAGTTCATATTTTAATAATTAATATTTGCATTTAAAAAGCACTATTTTTCACGGTACTTGCAACAAGAGATTATTTTGTGTTTCCCAGTTACAATAATTTTTGGAGGCCGTTATTTACTGAAATACATTTTGTTATTACCATAAATTTTAAATAAATTAGAGAGTTACCAAAAATGCCTCTTAAATATCTTAATTTAAAAATAAAATTATGTTTAAAAAAAGCAAAATATTTTATTATATTGTTTTACTTTAAATTTGTGGAAGGATTTAATGAACTAGATTATCATTATTTTTTATAATTATTTTGCAGGAATTTCAAACTTTGTTTGCCTTTTAGTTTGAACTTTTACTCTACAAAAAATATAAATATGTCTCATATTATTGCTTTGTATTTCATTCAAGCTTATAGAAGCATAAAAAAGCCTGAGAATATTTTTAAAACAGTGAAATGAAAAGGGATTTTTATCAAAATAAATTGATATGCGGGTATTAAGATATGTGCCATTAAATAACGTTTTAGTTAAGAGTTTTTGTAAAAAGTTTTATAATAACTAACTGTAATATAAAATGGGCAGAATTTTAACTATATGGCTTTCCATAAGAAATCTGTATCGGAAAATAGTAAATTCTAATTTTATAAAAGTCTGTGTTTAGCATGCAATGTATAAGAAACGAAAAGGCAAACAATTTTCATGAAGATTTTCGACTTCATCTAAATAATTGGCCGGAATTATTAAGTTTCTACTTCTAGAAATTTGTATACGAGTATAATTAAGGGATATTTTTTTTAAATTAATGAACATTCAGTATTTAAATCCAATGACTTTCTTTTATTTTATTAAACAAACGTGACTTACGATTGCTTATTTCTTTTTAAAAATATAATTCTTGTTTATCAAATTTTTATTTATTAATTTGGTAAAAAGTATGTTCTTAGTTTTAGGCTAAAAAATTTACTTGAATTTTTATGCCAGACATTTATGCCGCTTGTATTTTTATAACGTGACCTCTTTAAATATTAATTTATTGCATGTCTATTTTGTGACTATTTTTTTCTGTTTCAAAAAACAAAGTGGTTAAAGTAAATATTTCAGTTAACGGGATATAAGGAGACGCAGGAAATCACTTCATTGGAGGTTACACTTTCCCTCTATAGAAGACTTCAGCTCGCTTACTTGCGATTCAAGAGAATTTTTCAACTCTGAAAAGAAAAAGAGAACAAGTTATATTTTATATATTGCACATTTAAAATAAACAAAACAAATGAAGTAAACATTAATTTCAAATAAGTAGATTTAATTCAATTGTAGCCAACGACAGTTTAAAGGACTATGCTCAGCTTATTTATTATATATTTTACGTATCTTTCAAAAAAGAATTACGATTTATAGCTTCAGAAAAGTTTATATTACGTTATCTTGCAAGAACTTTACTTACAATAATAATGGCATTATTGGCACTTCAAAATATATTATTCAATTTTTCAGATAATGTTTGTATTAATAGCCAATTTTCATAAGATAATTATCTTATTACATAATTATCTGCTTATTAAACATCTGTTTTACTGAAAATTGGATGATTTAAATACTTAATAAATTTACTTTTATTACTTTTTATTAATATCGGTAAAATTTCACACTAAATTTTCAACAGCTCCTAATGTACAGTGCTTTATTTTGTGGCATATTTCGGTCAAATAAAGGACGTAAGGTTTTAGATATTAATTCAGACAATCATAGCTTGAATATTTTAATAAGAATCTTTAATAATTAAAAGGAAAAAATTCTAACTGCAGGCACTAGCTTATTATGTTATATCCTTGGAAAATGACGCAACTGTTGCTCATTTAACCCAACTCGGTGGTCTCCTGCGAACCTACGTCACGGAGACGAGCAACATTACCCACGCAACACTACCACAGGCCCTTTTATAAGGTGAGCCACATTCACTCATGAAACAACAGTATGAAACAACAGTCATGAAACAACAACCGAAACAACAGAAACAATGATAAGTTATGTTTGTCAACACACATAGGAAAACATTCAAGCCTTAAGCGGGATTTGAACCAGCAACCATTAGCTTCGCTGTCAAGCATGCTGACCGGCTGACTTAAATAATTGCATAAAATGTGTTAATAATAATGTATTAATGTGACTATTAGAATATAATATTGTAATTTATTATAAGTTCGGTCAAGTTGGTGTCTACTTCAATTTATAACTCTTATACAGGGTTATTCATAATTCCCTCTGCTTACTACAGCCTCAAGTTTACTATAAGTGGCTTCAATGGTGCATGTTACTGCCATCTACCGGCAACTGTTTAAATTAAAACTTGAATACTTTCGGAATAATTTCATATGTTCTTTTTTGCCATATTCGCCTTCATTTTTTTTACTATAACGCTTCGAAACCCCGGAGGGAATTATGAATAACCCTGTATTCTAAATTATTAGTGCTTTTTTTAAATTTCACGCATTATTTAATTTAAAATTTTTTAATCATCATACATTAGGTTGCCTTTAAAACAAAAGAAATTGTGCATTGAATTCTACTCTATAATTTTATCCAATTAGCTTATTGATTCAAAATCATCGAAAGAGTGATGATAAGAATAACAATGTCTCACTAGTGAATTCATCTTGATCTTCCGCTTCCGCCTCAGCAGCCAATTCGGCGGGTGTCTTCCGTTTCCGGTTCAGACTGCTCCCTTCCATATCTGCAAAGGGATCTTCCTGTTGGACTTCTTCCTTCTTTTTAATACCATACTATATAAAAGATATCAAAAGTTATGACTTCCAAAAACTTTTTTTTTATTTCTTTAGATTATTAATAAATAAAAATTTGAAAATACTACATGTGTCTTAGGCTAGGGTTCTTTTTCCCTTGCTTTTAACCATGCGTCTGATTGGAACACAATATCTTAAATTGTGTATGAATGGTTCAGATTACACTTTAATGAAAAATGCCTGAGGGTTTCAGGGATAGAAAAACTTAGTGTATAAGTCCCAAGAAGTAGTTTCTATAGTTTTCTTACTTTGTTTCCGTAAAACTAAAGAGTCTCCTTCAAATATTTTCCGTTTTTTTTTGAGAAACTTACAATTTTTAATTCTCTATTATTTTAAGCAAAATTCCTGTTAGAATATTTTTACTAGATACTCACATAGAATTTCGGAGAAATATAAATTTCAGCTTATACTAAATATCTGACATTCTTTAAAATGTTTCAACATTTAATTTAATCATTATAAGGTTTAGGAAAATATATGAAAATAAATATGGGATACTTGGATGGAAGTTTTAAAAAAGAGTTTTTGATAGTAAATATCTAAATATCTTGTAAAATAAATGCTGTTTCTTTCAATTTTTATTGACTTTTAAAATCTATTTTTTTCATAGTCTTAAGTAAAGGTTATAAAAACATGCTTTACTGCAGGCACATACTATTTGCTACAATTTATTTAAATGGGGAAGATTTTCCATTCTATGTATTAAAAATAAATGGATTGAAAAAATTTGCAAAGGCAAAATAAGTTGAATGCGAAGTAAAATTACAAATAAATGTAAATGTTTAATCATTATATAAGAAAAATAGAGGCATTAATTGCAGAACTTATGACGTGTTAATTTTGTATTGCATTTTTTTCTACAACAAATTCTCTTCAGATATTACTCTGTAAATAAAAAATTAGTTATTTTTTTCTCATATGCGTTCATCAACTAATCAATTAAAGTACTCTAGATATTTATAAATACATAATTCTAAATTTATATTTATAAATACATAACCAAACCCGCAGTCGTATTGAAAGCAGCGTTATTAATTTTTAATGAAGTTGATATTTTTTATGCATATAATATTTTTTCGATATTTTTACTTATAAAGAACTATAAGTAAATACTGAACAGTTTGAAAAAAAATTTGGTATTAAATTTTTGCTCTGGTATGAAACGTTAAGTTTGTATCTTTGCTCGCACGTGTTTGAAACAAAACAAATATGTGAATAATTGGTATAGTAACTATACATATAATATAATAATGATAAATGAAATAAACTTGACCTAGAATACCCAATGACTATTAATTTAATGCATAGCATCGGCTATTATTGTTTTAAACAGCTGATTACAGAAAATTTTGAATCAACTTTTGGAGAAGATTTCAGAGAAAGTCTAATATTTACTTAAGATACCTCGTTAAACTCCTTCTTGTATTTTGAGTTAAATTGTTTACTTTTGCTTTCTTATTTTCAGTTCATAAAATGTTGATGATAGAAAATCACTTAACAGCACTATATGCAAATTCAGTAATAGGATGGATTTAGAATTATATATTTATGTACATTCAGTGCTATTTTTTAGTCATATTTATGTATATTTAGATAGATAGCGAACGCATAATAGGAAAAATAATTGTGTTTTATTTACAAAATTGATTTTGCCGAGGATTAGTAGAATCGAATGCAATTAAAATGATCAGACAAACTTAACAATAAAAAAATTCAAACTCTGACTATTGCTTATCTGAAAGTTTAGCTGTAAATTTTCTTTAAATAAGTTAGATAATAATAATTTTAGATCTATGTGACCAGCAACACGACTAACAAAAATAACGTTAATCCTCCTGTTTTGAGATATAAAGATGGTTTTGTACAGAATTTTAAATTACTTTTTTCAAATAAAGAAAAAAAATACAAGATGGCATTTTTTTGAAGCAAATTGAATTTTACTTATTTCAAAGGGATCAGCAAAAATTAAATACATAAATTTTTTGTGCACTTAAATATCATTGTCATCAAGCAACTTCAAAAAATAAGTATTTACATCATCTAAAATCATTTTAAATTTTCCATTTCCTTCTTACTTAAAAAATATACATTTTGATGAAATAAATATAAATATAATAAGAAATAAATTCAACATAATTTTCCAAATTAGCATAACCATTTTTATTAAAAAAAAGATAAATTAATATTTTTATCGTCGCAAATGAAAATAAACTCTTATTTTTTAACAGGCTGCGACATTCCAAAGCAGTGATATTTATTTAAATTAAAATAACATAACAAGTTATTAGATTTTCTTAGACGCGAAAGAACTCGGAATACCAGAAATTGTTTCAATAATTCCTTCCCTCATACATTTTTTTATTAAAATTCTTCCTCTAAATGAAAAAAAATATTTCACGAGTTTTGCTGTATCAAATAACTTTAAAATATTAATGTATTCTGCATTAAACAATTTGTTTTTAATTAAATACAATGAAAAAACTTTTTCTAGATGAAATATCTGTTTCAAAAAAGTTGGTAACATTTTTGTTCTAAAAATAAATGACTTTAGGTGGAAGTAATTTTAATGAAGTTTCTTTATTGTACTTAAATAGATTCCCATAACTTATTTAAAAAATTAATTCCAAGAGACACTGCCCGCATTTTTTTGTAAAACAAATAACTTTACCATAACTGTAAACAATTAAATCTGCCAATATCTTTTTTCCAAAGCAAAGAAAAAAATCTTTAATGCATCTTTTTTTTTACAGATTGAAATTAAATTAGAATGCGTATAAAAATAAGATTTAACATTATAAGAATTTATCAAACTGTGATTTAAATCACAAAAGTGAAATAAAATGCATAAGAAAAGAAAATATACCCATTATTAGCCCATTGATTTTCGTATACTATTTGGTGATATTCATGAATTAGACTCACTGTCTATATTATCATGTTAGTACAACTACTGTTTGAGTATATTTAGTTGAAGGTGAATTGCGACCAGTTATCTAAGTTTATGAGGACTGATAGAGCTAAACTGTCAGATTTAGTTGTTTAGTTGTGTACAATATGGCATACCTGAAAGTCATAATGTACTATTTTTCTCATATATGTTTTTTTGGGAAAAAAGAGTAACAGTATGATACTCTAGATACACTTGTTAAATCTGCGAGTTATTTAAAAATTCTAGAATTTCAGTGGAAAAGTATCAAATATATCTATTTTGTATGACTATACATGAAAATTATGCATGTAATTTGCATGCCAAGTAGTCAACGACAAAATCAAGGGGAGGTTTTACTTTTCACTTATTTTGCTATTTCAAGAAATTTTAAGTAAATGGAATGTATGCCACGATGTTTAATTGCTGAAGATACCTTATAAATCTTTTTAATTCTCCCTGGAGTACAGGGATATTTAGAGCATCCTCTACGAACCCAGAGGTACTAGGTCTGAATCCTGCTGGCAGCCAACGCACATATCTCTGACAAATTTCTCCATCCACATCACTATTGAGACATTCTGCTACAAATTTGAAATACATTGAGGTTTTCAAATTAGACTATTATTTGTTTCGTAGCTATTTGGACTAAACTTTACTCAAATTGCAAAATCCTTTTTTACATAGTGGCAATGATCATGAATCCACAAGCAGTGTTTTTTTTTTCATTCAGAAAGAATATTTATTTACATAACAATTCGCATTTGGAATATATTTGGATTTCTCGAAAAGCCCTCTGGGAGTAAGACATTAAGTATATATCAGGAATTTTCAAAAGCCCCCTAGGGTGCTGAATTCAGAGGTGCCATACAGTGTCTTTTATTATCATTTACTGGAAAACTATAGCAGATCGAATAAGTTTCAAAATATAGTTGATATATATAGTGATGTATGTACGTAAGATATGAGTATTGTTGCGTCTTCCCCTTTATAACATTAATCATTTTACTTTTCAATGCATGGTGCAGTGTATGCGTCATTTAAGGCAGTAAAATGAGACATAGTTTTTCTCATTAGTCTTTTGTTTGCCATCTTATCGTTAAATTTATAATAAAAAAGCTTTACACGGAAACTTGACTCACGCTGAATATTTTCAAACTAATCACCCAATACATCTCAATCTCCAACATCTGGCTCCTCAACTAAAATTATACAATATGGGCAGTAACTGTTTAATTCAAAGAAAAGTTTGTGCACAGCTGCTACAAAAACAAAAAATTCCTGCATCTCAGCTAACAACGTTCAGATATCGCCATTGAAACTTGCCAAACTGGAAGAAAAATCTAAGAAATTGCTTAAAAGAAACAAAATTGTTATAACATATCTTTCTTTGAATACGGATGATTAAACTATAACTGATAAAAGGAGTGCAACAAAAATTGATATTTAAACTTTATTTTTTTTCAAAAAACGAAAATTAAATTTCGTAAAGGTAGATATAAATTAAATCTTCCATGGGTCAAAGGGGATACTGTCAATTTATATTAGGCTATTAGTATTAATGCTGGGAATATATATCAGGCTATTAGTTAGAATTTAGTGTGAGTCACTAAGTCAATTTGCCAATTTACCAATATGACAAAAAAAAATGACTGGTGAGAAAAATTTACCATTTCAGTCTGAAACACCATCGAATAGAAGGTGAAATGATTAGTTTAATATAAGAAAGATGCAACATGTACCGTTACCAAAAAGTTATGAGGTTTCTCTTGCTACAATGAGACTCCATTCCCGTACGAAGTTAAGTTTCCAATTATCGCTCAAAAATAAATATTGAAACAAATGTGGATTATATAATACTAGCGATTTAAAAAAATGGATAATGAGCAGAAAGCTAACCTATCGCACTAAATGAATTCTTAATAATTTAGAGCATGGATCATTATTTCTATTTATTTCATAAATAGTTAACACTTCGGACTACTCTGAATAACGTTTGATCAAATGATCGGACCTTCATGTTCTAGGACTCAATTTTAATAGTAAATATGCTTATTATTAAGTGCAGACGGCATTTTAAATTACGAAATCAGACACAAAAGCCTACTTTTTCCGAATAACCTTTACCTTATACCTTTGTTTTTACGGATTCGGATTTCTAACCCCCAAAATATAGGAGGCAGCCTCAATCTGGGATTGGACAAAGATTGGACCCCTTAATGTAAATTTCATTTTTTGCGTTTTTCGCTATGTATTGAAAATCCTTTTAAGCGAATTGAAAAATCTTTGCCCATAATTATAAAATTTGTTTATGCAAAGATTATTTCGCACAAAAAATAACTTTTAGTAAATATTTATTATTTTATATCATTTTATTTAATAATGATCGAAAAAAAATTTTATTTGCGAGGTATACAATTTTTCACATGACTTTAAAAAATATAATTTTGCGTGGCAAAATACAAATTTTGAGCAAAATCAGTTGAATAGTTCCTGAGAAACTGAATTTCAAAAATGTCAGATATTTAAAATTTCATTTCTCAGAAAAATTTGACCGATTTTGATCAAATTTTGCATGCAATATATTCTTTAAAGTGATGCAACAAATTGTATACCTTACACTCCAAAATTGTTTGACCATTATCAAATAAAATGATAAAAATAATAAATATTTAATAAAGGTTTATTTTCTGCATGGCATTATCTTTGGAGAAACTAATTTTATAATTATGTGCAAAAATGCTTCGATTCGCTAAAACAGTTTTCGAGATATAGCAAATTAAGCAAAAATTAAAATTAATATTAAGGGGTGAAAACTTTGAACCGCTCTTCTGACCAAAGTATAGAGACCATATTTCCCAGATTGCGGTTACCCCCTATATTCTAAGGGTAGAAATTCGCATCCATCGTAGAAAAGGTATGTTTATTCAGAGAAAGTACGTTTTTGTGTCTGATTTCGTAATTTAAAATATCGTCTACACTTATTAATTAGCATATTTGAGGTCCCCCCCCCGAATCATTAAGATGAAGTCATAAGAGTCTGAAGATCCGATCGTTGGAAAAAAAATTATTCAGTTTGGCCCGTTTTTTTCTCTTCTTTTTTGTCTCTCTTTTTTTTTTTTTTTTGATTGTTGTTGCAGTTGCACGCTGTATATTAAGCGAATATATATGAAATGCAACAAATATTATTTATTTGAAATGCTGAATGACAATCTTAAATCTCGAAAGGGGGCTACATTTTTATTATGGTTAGAAACCTCGAGTATACATATTTTAAAGGATTTAGATAAGCATAAATCAATTTTAAATCAATATTTTAAATAGAAGGAGAAAAAACATGTCTGAATAAGGAATATATAATTTGAAAGGTAATTCAAGGACGTTTCTTAGCAATTGGATTTATTTTAAGGAACAATTTAAGTAATAATTATTCAAATAGTTTTCAAATTATTGGCAGAGCGAATTCTATTTCGCTAATTGTGTATATTTCCGACAAACATAATTTAATGTCTTCTCTTTGTTATGGAATGTCTTTTATTTACTTAAGTCTTAAACTGTTTTAAATTTATAAACTAAAAATATCGTTATTTTCCTTCACTTTTGTTAAAATGTACCTTTTTATCTATCCGAAATCTTTCTTATAAGACGAAAGTTTCCAAAATTTGATGTATACCTGATTGCCTTCTTGGTAATTACCATTAATCACAATACATTGTGAGTTCATAAAGCAGAAATTAATGAACTATAACTGATGAAGTTTTATCGAAAGTTCGTAAATTAAAGAGTATTTAAAGAATGGTAGCTTAGCTAATTATCTGACCTCTTTGGCTTTTACATGGTTTATTTCGTAATTACCGTTGAATATTTTTAAAGCATATTCAAATTTATGCATCCAAGTTAATGAGTCTCCGGTGACTTCTGCTTCTGCGTATTAATGGCAAATGAATTAAACTTGGTCATTAAGAAAATAGCTAAATATTTAAAACTTTGTGCAGAAATGTTTGGGGATTTTAAAGAATTTGAATAAAAATCCAAAGATGCAAATTTTGCATACTTTTAGTTCCAATTGTAAAATACCAAATAAGTATAAACATATCTAAAGAAAAAAAACAAATGTATATTATAATGCAGACAGAGGGTAATGATAATAAAAAGAGTTTTTGTTGAGTATGAGAGATACAATGATAAAAAAATAATTATTGCAATGTATGCTAATATTAAAAAAAACATAGATATTTATTAATTACTTTTTAGTTTAGTAAATCTAAGATTTTTTCTGTTTTGTTTCAATCGATTTCTGAAAATAATAACTTCCGCAGACAAATATTACAACATAAATTTTTTAGCAATTTTGCGTGTATTATGCAAAGGTCATTAATACTTTTAATACTGTGGTATAATTTTTAATATGGTATTACTCTTTACTAATATAGTACTACAATATTGATTATTTAATATATTATTACCATTTTCTAATATCGTATTGCAGTATTTAGTAATATTTTAATTAATTCAATTGGTATACATAATAAAATAAATACACTGTCATATAATTAATTTTAATAAATCCAATTACAATAATATCTTTAAAAAAAATCAATGTTTTTTGAAAATATATCAGTTACCCGACAAAAGTAAGTAGTCGGTTACTACTTGTACCAGGACGGAAGCGACACATGCTTGACATATATGCTGTTAAAAGCAATGTTTTCTTACACTTATTTCACAGATTAAAAAGAACACGTGACATTGGCGATTTGACTTTGATATTTAAATGGTCTGCCAAATTCGCCATTCTGCAAGATTAGAAGAACGACTTTTCAACTATGGGCTATGGTATGTCGAATGAATTATTGTTAATTTATATAGTTGCATCTTTTACTTTAATTCTAATTCTATAGCTAGTAGTGATGGCTTAGTTCCAATTCTATAAAATGCTCTACAGCATGTCGATAGATTCTTCTATAATATTTGGAAAAAGAATTACTCATGACGAAAACTAAAATGCTTTCAACGTATGGTTATAGCATATTAAACTTTATTAGTTATGTAAAAAATAAAACAATTTTAGTTTTAGAATGTAAATGGAAAAAAAGAGTGATTAAAATTTGAGGTTACACAATTTTAATACTCGTATTTATAGTATAAAAGAATAATTAGTAAGGAGAAAAATTTGTATAACAGTTGGTACTCTAAGTAAGAAAAGATATTTAGAGTCGACAGTTTGAAAACTTGGATAAATACTTTTATATGATCTGGATGCTTATCTGGAAATACTTATCTGGATAAATGCTCTTATGTGAATGCCTTTACGTTCCTTTAAATAATAAAAAAAGAATAAACTATCATTAAAAATAACTGAACTATGACATATCCTAAATTACTTTTAAATTTAAAAAAATGTATCAAAATATAGCTATTTTAAGAAAAATCTTGTATCTTAATATCTCAAATTAAAGTTCCGGTTTAAAGAAGCTTAATGTCGTAAACTAACGATGGATTCAAATATATACGAAAAGTAAATATACATTGAGCGTTAGATCTGGTAATATTCTCGTTGTTTTATACATTCGTAGATATAAAGGGATATAATAAAAGGATATAAAAAATTATCATCATTTCTTCGGAACTCAACAATGTTTAAATTAACTACAAAATTGAAGTTTTGTAGACTAAATGTGCTACACCATTGTTTGTTTGTAGTTTCCGTGTTTTAATTATTTACTTATATTTTATATTTACACTCTAAGAATGCGTTACCTTATCTCTGATTTCTTGCCTCATCTTTTCTCGTTCTTCTTCCATCTTTCTGTGTTTTTCTTTCCTCCGTTCTTCGGCCTCACGTAAGGCTTCCAATCGTTCCTGTTCCTCCTCATCAGCAGCATCTTTATCTTCTGAAGTGCCTCCTTCTTCGTCATTTCCAACCGCACCTACGTAAAACAAATAACGTCAATATGTTTTTTTTCCAAATCCAAATCATGACAATTTATAAATTTTGCTATAACATTGCAACTATCTTTCATACGTGTTGCTCCATATATTACATTCTGTGCCTGTGGATACCCAAAACTCTGAAATTTCTACTCTTTTCTTCCTGATTTAATTAATTTTTTTTGTTTCAGTTTGCCACAAGCGCTTTAAAGATACACTTAAGGAAATAATCATTATTAAATAAAAAAATATTATAAAACTTTTCGAAGTAAAAATTTATTTCAAATTTACCATACAGCATGGTAAGAAAATCATAATATTTGTAGAAAAACTAAAATAAACGGTATTTAAACTATTCGTTTCGGTAATTGGTATTTGGTAATGGTTCACCGGAAATTCTATAGCTATTATTGCCCCACATTTATTAAAAAATACCGATCTTAAAAGCAATTTTAATAGAATAAAGGATTATTTCGCCATGTTCTCATGTATCATGTTAAAATATTAAAATTCTTCCGCATTATTCATTGAATTTTATCATTCATTATAAAATTGTATTTTATTGTTAATTTTATCAAACATATTTCCTAAGTAATGATGTTTAGAATCAAATTGCTTTTGAAGCATTAGAAAAATGCCACGCATTCCATTAAAAACAGATTTTCAAAGAACAAAAGAGACGATGCTGATTATTAAAATAAGCATATTGGCTGCATACCTTTCAACCAGTTATGCTGACTAAAATTCAAATATTTAAACTGGAGATCATGTAGAGTAATAATTATATTTGACTTAATATATAAAATGCGATAAAAATAATAATTTAAAAATGTAGTTATATAAACTTGCTTTAAATTGTAAGAACGCCATTAAGTTAGAAATAAAGTGCAGATTTAAGAAATGATGTAAGATAGTTGTAAAAGAATTTTCTTTTCTTATTTAGGCATTAAATTTTAATAATTGAGGCAATCATGTCGAAATTAGGATTCATATTAATATTGATCCTACCTGCTGTTTCAAGTACCTTCATGTAAAACAATTTCATTTTACAGAAATAGTTGTTACGTTATGATTGATATAGTTGTTGAAATAAGTTACTATTAAACTAAAATTTCTATTCATGTGTCAAATTTAGAATTAAATGTTAAATGTGTTCAATTTAAATGCATATAATCAAACTAAACATAATAATGAGACATATGAACAATACATAATGATTCATCATGTGAATTTCAAAGGGGTCTCTTTATTATTAAGCAAAATTCTAATTTTCTCTTCATTTAGGTTTTGATTAAAGTTTTAAAAATAGTTTAATAAAGGCTATTAAAAAGAAATAGAAAAACTTTTCTATATCATCAAACTCAGTTCAGTTATTATACTTCTTAATAAAAATCCTGAATTCGCTGAACAGGATACAATTTTAAATTCGTTTCTATAAAATAGTTTTTAAAAAATCTAAATTGTCCTTTTTAATGAGGATAGTTCTCCAAGTTTCATCAAACTTATGAAGCAATCAATCCAAATTTAAAATGTCTATTATCTAAGTAAAAATATAATATTCTTTCTACCTTCCATTCATTAATGTTTTTTAATAAAACCTCCAACTCTCATTAACTTTATTTTATTTTTGCATTAAATATCTTGATATCTCTTAGGCGAATTTTTTTCGGAAATGAAAATTATTCATTTTCTTGAAGCTGTATTATTAAAAAAATACAAAATTGCAATAAAGTCGATGGATATTTAGATGGGAGGTGGAAAGGAAAAATACCAATAGGTGAAGGAATGATANTTTATTTTATTTTTGCATTAAATATCTTGATATCTCTTAGGCGAATTTTTTTCGGAAATGAAAATTATTCATTTTCTTGAAGCTGTATTATTAAAAAAATACAAAATTGCAATAAAGTCGATGGATATTTAGATGGGAGGTGAAAAGGAAAAATACCAGTAGGTGAAAGAATGATAATCTTTTAATTTGTTAAGGATACTGGATATCAGTTATTCACAAATCCATTTAATATTTTTTTAATGAACTAACACTTTGTTGAACAAATACTATAATGAACAAACGGTTGTGTATACACTTTAATGAGTGAAATTTAGTTTTAGTAAACTGTTGAAATTGTTTATTTAGTTTTTTTCCTTATTTTATTTTATTTCTCTTCTCTTTCGCTTAACAAATTGTGAACATTATCAAGACAAAAAAGTTTTTAGTATCTTGTAATTGTTCCTTTTCGCACGATGTAACTTTGTGTACTTATCAATATAAACTGATATCACAGTTGCTTTTCCTATTTTGCTTAAAGTGAAACATTTAAGATAATTTTGCAAATTTTTCGCTCCTTTCATGAAATTCAAACACTTTCAAAAAATTTCAGTTTTTTAAAAAATAATCTAAGAAACAGTGTTTAAAACATTAACATATTGTTATAAAAACTATTAACTAATTATAACTAATTACTATAAATTTAAATCGCTGTTAAAAAGCGTAATTAGATATAAATTAAGTTTAATTAAAAAAATATTTTCAACCTTAATATTCAAGAAAATTAAATTATGTTTTATTAAATAAAAATATTATGTGGTTCGACATAAATATGTTAAGAAACAAAATGTGAATTTGGGCAAGAATGTCACATTTTTTTTATTAATCTCTCTCTATATATAAAAGCGAAAATTTATCTGTATGTGAGGTCATTAATAATTCGAGGACGGAAGCAATGATTTGGATCGTGTTTTTTACTGCAATTAGTAAATTTTATAGGGGAGGGATGTTACTTTCCAATAATCACTTTCGAGCATCGTTTAATACGGGATAAATAGTGAAAAAATGAAATTCCTCTGTTGTAGATTATCCCTTCCCTTATATCTTTTGAACAGATTTACCAATTTGAATGGTAGTTTTGTTTCAGATTGCTAATATATTTAGACCACTTTAATATACTTTCCATTCCTCTACGTTGAGTTATTTCTAATTGAGTCGCGTTATTAATATGAAAATTGACTTTTCAGCGTAAATACTCATTTAATTGGTTATGCTGTCTTTTAGTTCTAGAACTTAAGCTAAATGATTTGTAGTAAATTTATTTTTTGTTTAACGCGTAAAAAATTTAAAGTGCTTGCGGTTTTAGATCTCAGTATTATCTTAACTTCCTTCAACTTCAGATCTAAGTATTCTTTTTCAAAGACATTTGAAACAATTAAAATTCGTTTTGTTTCGGCGGAAAAAAACCTATCAAATGAAATTCATTGATTCAAATGATTAATTATCACTAATAAGAACACAATTTGATTTTAAAAAAGTTGTTGATTTGTTATATTATTCATGTGAAACACAATTGAGACAATAAGCATATTTTTAAGAAATTTTGAGAAAAGAGGAGTGACAGATGAAAAAAGTCGCTTCTTAATTCTGATCATTAAATTTTTTTCGAAGAAAAGTTGCTAAATTTTGCTTATAAAGTCCAAAAGCAAATTTAAATAATTAATTAATGAAAACAAAAGACTATCGAGAAAATATACAACCAAATTCTAAAAGTTTAATTTTTTTAATAAAAAAAATTTCTTGTCAGTTATCAGTTACGACAAGTAAAACCTTCACTTGTGCTGTAAAAACTTTACTTGTTTGAATTTAATATACATGTATCTTAAAGTATGACTAATTTAATATACCAAAAATCATTAGGATGGGTACTCTGTAATATCGGCGATCGAAAAAGCAATATAACATTAAGTTGGAGATTAAGTTCATTTGTCACTTGAGTGTCAGGTATTACATTCAAGAAGTAATAATAATAACTCCATTTGGGCCTTATCCAATATTCTAAGTTAACTTTATTTAATTTTATGTTATTCTCATACCTTTATAAGCACTTGAGAGATTAGTTTCAATTATTTAATTTATATTTGCGCAATAATTAATAAAATACATTTGAAAAGTTCCTTTAACTGTACAATTTGTAAGAAGTCCCAGAATAATAAAAAAGAAAAAACAAATTAACAATGGCAATAACATTAGCAAAACAAATTAAATAATAATGTTATTAGAAATTCTATTGTTTTAAGATTTTATTTTAATATTTAATAGATTTTAAAAACAAACAGAAAATACACGAAATAATTTATTTTCCTAGAAAATGATTATGAAATGATGCAGAATAATCAATTACACCAGTATGATTTAAAAAATTAAAATAGACTGACTTTTATTCATCTTATAACGAATGAATTACAAATTTCGAAACCAATAACACCTAGGTATGAAAAGATGGTATCATCTGAGTAAGGTGGTATCGCATAATGTGCACAAACGAAAATTGGTATATTAAAATTTACGCCCATCGAAACGCAATTTTCAATATCAATAAAGCATCAAATATAGGATAATCATTTCTTAGTTTGCAATTGTACTAACATTAAAACTCAAATATGGTGTGACAATAATAAAAAAATTCTAAATAAATATTAAAGTTATTATTGTTCAACTTTCAAACCCTGGATAAATTACAATTATAAATATAAAAATGATATGTATTAAATGAAATATTAAATACGCACGCAAAATTTAAATAATAAAACTGTATAAGGTAATAGATCTAAATATAGGCACTGCCCTTAATATGGGAATTGCTGTAAAAAGAATATTTAGCTCAGAATTTCGGTTATCGATGGTAATATTAAAGGTAAAAACAATTTAAACCTGGTGAAACATTCATAATAGTTTTTTTTTTTTTAAATTCAATACAATGAAGAAAAGCAATGAAGGAATTTTGCTCATAGGAAAAATTGTTCTCATACATTTAATGTAGAAATGTATTATCTTTCAAATAGCCTTGTCACTAGTTTTTAATTTTATTCAATGACCGTCCATTTACAGTTGAGTAAAAATGATATTTGTACCGGTTATAGGCACTGAAATTAATTCCAATATTACTATTGTGTAAGTAAGGTTGAACTCCGACCCACCCCAGGGGGGTACACGGAGATAAAAGTAAAA